AGAAACATCGATGAGAGAGAAACATCGATCAGCTGCCTCCTGCACATCTCCTACTGGGGATGTGCCCACAACCCAGGTACATGCCCTTGACCGGAATCGAACCTGGGACCTTTCAGTCCGCAGGCCGACGCTCTATCCACTGAGCCAAACCGGTTTCAGCATTGCTCTTTTCTCTTACTCATGTTTCCACCCACAGGAGATTTTTTTTTTTTTGGTCCTTTAAGTAACTTGAAAATGCATTAAAAGACAAAGATGAAAATGCCAATAATTGTAGTATGATTTCCACCCTGAGTCTCTCCCACATCATTGAAACTTCTTTCAAGTTCTTCAATAACTCCAAGTTGATAAATCCAATTGTCACACCCTAAATCTTAATCTCATTTGTTCTTTCAGTAACATTTTTTTTCCTGTTTACCATTTCCCTCTTTTTCGATCATCCTCCTTTGGCCTTTGTGACTTCACTTTCTCTTGAGTTTCCTCCTACCTTTTTGGCCATTTATACTTAGTTTTTCACCAGTTTTCTTTTATCCAGAATTCTTAGACTTTTTTCTCACTCTTCAAGATGTCCTACTGTGATTATATTCATGTCCATGGTTTCAATTTCCCATAGATATTAGTAACCCCCAAATTTGTATCTCTAGCCCAGAATCCAAAACTCCAGATTTCTACATCTAGCTGCCTAATAAACACTTTACATCAGAGATCTCATAGACATCTCAGTTTTAAAATATCCAAATTCTAATTTATATATTTGTTTTTGAACCTGCTTCTTCATCCATATTTCTCCAATCCCTGAATAGTATCAACAGAAATTTGAGAATCACCTAGATTTCTCTTTATCCATCATCTTTTGTATTCCTTTGGTCACCAAGTTTATTACTGCATCATAAATTATTCAACTGTATATCCTCATTTCTAATACTTAACTTGCTTTATTTTAGCCTGGTATATGATAAAGGCTTAGGATTACTGCAATAACCTTCAAATAGTTTTCTCATCCACCAATCTCTCCCCCTACTAAAACATTTTTTACATCTGCTAAGACGTTCTTAATATTCCTCCTCAAATGGGTCTTAACCAAATCATAAATCTGATCATGTCTTTTGCTGAAAATACTCCAGGGGATCCTTTAAAGACTTTGAATAAAAATCAACTTCTTTTTATGAGGCAGAAAAAATTTATGTATTAACTATGTGACCTTGGGTGAAGGACTTGACTTTTCTGAATTATTACTATACTAGAGGCCTGGTGCATGAAATTTGTGCACAGGGAAGGGCGGGTGTAAGTCCCACAGCCTGGCCTGAAACCTCTCCAATCCAGTACTCCTCCAACATCCCTCTTGCAATCCGGGACCACTGGCTCCTAACCGCTCATCTGCCTGCCTGCATGATTGCCCCTAACCACTCTGCCTGCCTGCATGATCGCCCTTAACCACCTCTGCCTGCCTGCCTAATGACCCTAACTGCTTCCCTGCTGGCCTGATCACCCCTAACCGCCTCTGCCTGCCAGCCTGATCACCCCTAACCGCTCGCCCCTGCTGGCCTGATCACCTCTAACCACTCTGCCTGCCTGCCTGATCACCCTTAACTGCCTCTGCCTCAGCCCCCCCACCATGGTTTTGTCCAGAAGGATGTCCAGAAGACATCCAGTCTAATTAGGATATTACCCTTTTATTAATATAGATTACAACCACAAAAATGCTAGCAAATACTTACACAATATTTCCACAGGCCTTTTTCTAAATGCTTTACATGTATTAACTTATTTAATATTTACAACAATCCTAGGTGGTTGCCATTATTAGCCCCGTTTAATAAATGAGACAAGTGAGGCACAGAAGGTTAATTGCCAAACTCCACAGAGTTAGCAATGGAGCAGTCAGGCTTCAGGTCCTGGTAGTTTGGCCCCAGCATCCATGTACATAATCACAACCTCAGCTCTGTCGCATGTAACTGTAGACCTTGAGTAAGTTATTTTAATCCATTAAAGTTTCAATTTCCTCCTCCATAAAAGCAGAGCATGAATCCCTACTTCTTGGAGTCAGAAGGATTAAGTATAATGGTGGCTTCGTGCTCAGCATCTGGCCAGTCCTCAGGAAATGGTAACGATGAGAGCGACTCATGAGAGCCTTCATAAACACCTCTGCAAACTCTCTACCAGCATCTTTCTTTACTTACAAACATCAGCCCTAAACTTCAACTGGACTGAATATTTACACAGTCCCTTTTGTATTTCCACATTCCCATCTGCATAGAGTAACCTTCCATTTTCTTTGCTCACTCATATTTTCATAAACATTAGTGGAGATATCTCCTACTCCCCAAAATATGCCTGCTCCTTTGAGGCTGTGTTGAATGCCAATGTCCCTATCATCATGCACATATTTTTATTATGGTATTTTTAATGAAGTGTTGTAACCATGTATTTTTGTCTGCCTGAGACACTACATAGTGAGCTTCATACAGGCAAGGATAATGCTTTTCATTGCTACATGGCAGTAGTGTCAGTAAATATTGAAATCAATCAATGATCAATATATAGCAGGGTTCAAATTTAATTTGATAATGACCTAATAAATTATATTTAAAAATATTCTGCAAGCACAAAGGTCATAGCAACTAATTCTAATTCCTTTGTTTAAAACTAGGAAAAGCTTCACAGAAGAGTTGAGTAGTGCCTTAAAATTTGAACAGGCTTTTACCAGGTAGAGAGAAAAAAAAAAGAATGTCAAGCAGGGGGACTATCCACGGGAAGGCAGCGTGAAAGCATATTCTCTATGTGAGGAATGATATATCCAGAATAGCTAAAACATGAGGTCCACACATGACAGTGTAAAAGAGAGGTTAGAGTAGTTGGAGATGAGACTGAAAATTCATACTGTGACTACACTATGAAGGAATTTGAATGCAATACTTCTTTGTTCCTGTTGTCATTGTGGAATCTTGGAATGCTTTGATTGTAACAGTTATCAGGTCAAGGTTTTATAACGTTAACTTAAAGCAACATGGAGGACTGATCGAAAGTGGACAGATGCTAAAGGCAGTAAAACAACAACTTACTGGCCAAAGAAGATAATCAATGAAAACCTGAGTAACAGAGAGGAAGTAACCAATTTCACAGGTGTTTTAAATTTTGGTGAAGAACTGTATGCTGGGAATGAGAATGTTGGGTTTCATAAAAGTTCAAGAGTATTGCTTAAAGTTAACAATTTGGTAAGAATTTAGTCAATAATAAATATAAATGATTTCATCTGCTTGTAAAATACAAGCTATAAATATATTATCTTAAACCTTTTAGGAATCTCAAATATCAATCACTATAACATTTTGATCTCAATTTAAATACATTATATGCAAATTTTAGTTAATCCACGAATGAGTCTATGTTATTCAACTTGAAAATTTTCTTTTAAATAATTCTGTATGTTTGGACAATAAAAATTATTTTACTCTAATCAACAAATAACAAAATCTTATGGCAATTAAAAATAAAACTGTTGTAAATAGTTATAATTCTTTTTTTGTTTCTCAACATTTCACAAACATGCAAACAGAACTTTGAAAAACTACCTGTTGAATTGGCCATATTTCATTAAAGGCCTTAAAAAGACAAAAAGATAATACTAGAGACAAATTATTGTGTAATTACAGTGTCAATTTAAAGAAAAATTTAAAGAAAAGTGTAATATTATACCTTACTTATAAATTTTAAAAGTCTAATTAAAAACAAAATTAATCATAATTTCTAAAAAATTTTGCTTTTGTGTGGGTATCCTTTATTTATTAAAATAATATAAGGATTTTTATCACATAGCTAAATTAATGAGTCAACTAATATATGACTTTGCAAAGGACTGCTCACAATGACTGCTGTAGGTTTATATATAGCATCAGTTGAGAAAGTTATTCACAGCATGATTTATTTGTATATAATACTAGAGGCCCAGTGCACAAAATTCATGGAAGGGGGGGTGTCCCTCAGCCAAGCCTGCACCCT